TGCTGTCATCAGGCAAATAGTGGAAGAAATCAAGCAAGACATTATAAAGGCCTTTGAGGTGAAACTAGATGAGCTCATAGACAAGTACGACAGGGAGCTGGAAGAAATCAACAACAAGCTTGATACGCTTGTGATGTATGCAAGATTTGATAATCTTGCTGATGAAGATGCTCGTCCATCTGGTAGTGACGGCGACGATGATGATGATAATATGGACAATTAGTTTTTCTTTTTGTTATTTTTGTTATTTTGTTATTTATGTTAATTTATCCTTTTCATGTTTAATAAAATGTTCAGTTTTTGTTATAAGTTTTTTGTGCATTTTTTTTATATTAATTCTATTCAAAATCGAAAAATAGCAGAGGAAATGATTAACTTCAGCTCTTCTTGCTTAAGTATTTAAAGATTAACTGAAAAACTTCAGCTCTTCCTGCTGAAGTTTTTAAATATTAACTAAAAAACTTCAGCACCTATGCTGAAGTTTTTTGTGCAATATGTAATTTTAATTTATGTTTTTTTGTTTTACCTAGTGTAGGAGGAAAACTTCATCAGCTCATATTGCTGAAGTTTTTACAGATTACGTGAAAATCTTCAGCAACTAATGCTTAAGTTTTTTTGCAATATGAAATTTTAATTTATGTTTAATATTTAACCAGTGTAGGAGGAAAACTTCAGCTCGTTTTGCTGAATTTTTTAAATATGAACTAAATAACTTCAGTTTGTTTAGCAAATAAACAATGATAACACTCATATAACTCGTTTTAATGAAGTTTTTAGTTATGAACTAAATAACTTCAGCTTGTTTAGCAAATAAACCAACAATTTCAGCATATTTGTCGGATTAGAATGTTAGAAGTGAACGTCAAACATATTTAGAATGCAAATTCAGCATATCAGTGAAGTTCATGAAACAAATTTTGAATACTTACAATGTATTTTGTAATTTTGAATTTGAATGTGGTTCAAATATGATTTGCGATAGGCGATCTCAGGAGAGACGGAGTGATGGAGGAGATACGACTCTGGAATTTGAATATGGGTATGATTGATGCATCTTTTATATGTTTTGGAAGGGGTATAATAGTCATATTAATACGGATTTTTTGTTAGTTGGTTACGAAATCAATAGTTTTTAAAAATAGGGTATAGGTTAAAAGGTGGCATAAAAATAAGGTACGGCTGCAAATCGCCCGATTAATCCCTACAAAATGAAAGATACAATACGGCCACAGGCGGTGCCTCTGGGCCACAATATTTTAAGTCTTCCCTTTTGGTGTAAGTAATTTTTCTACTAACAAGTAACAAGTGTAGCTTACCATTATCAAAGACATATAAATTAAAGTTATTATATTGCAATTTTAATTATAATGCCCGAGATTAATGACTAATATAAGTATCTCAATAATAATGTTGGGTCATTCCTCCAAGCTATCTCGTAGCGACAAAATTTAAATTTCTACCTCAATTATGTTGTTGTGCTACTAGCATCCAAATTAAGTAGCGTAGCAAATTCGAGAATTATGACAAACCTCTATTTGTTTCCACTTAATAGAGTTTTGAATTAGAATCATTCAGATTTTAATCCAGTGAATGCATTTCATTTTTATAACTATTGCTTTACTTTTAATAGGTTTGAATCATCTAAATATATACATAGTGTTACAGCCATTAACACCACCATTATTTACTACCATCAATAACCTCAATATGTAATTACTCAATCACCAGCTACTATACTCAATTATTTCCATTGTACAACCTATAACTTTCACCACCACCATCAATCACGTTTGTCATTACCGCCACTATCGTCAACCATCTCTATCTCCACCAATTGCCACCACCCCCGCTACCACAATCAATCACCTCAACTTACCCATTATCCCTGACACTTGCGTTCTCCGGCGATCGTCACCTCCATCACCAACAGCCACCATCAATGCCACCACACAGCTATAACTCCTGCCACTCATCAGTATACAACTACTACTATCAATCACCTTCACTAATCACAATCATTATCAGCCATCATCACATAATTGTGACGACATATAACTATAGTTTCTAATTATCACTGCCACTAGTTGTTAGAGCATGCTTCGCCAAGCAAACAATTTTTAGAACACACATAAATTAAAATTTTCTCTAATATTTCGTGCATATAATATTTAAATATCTTCTTTTTTTATAAAAATTAAGTACAGACAGTATTATGCTAAGGAAAAAATAGTCTTAATTATTAAGTGTTAAGATTTAGAGACCATGATGTAATAATCATATATGTATTTAGATCCAAACATTTGATTAAAAAAGAAGACAAACTGAAAAATAATTAAAAAGGTTAATTTCATAATCGCTTCAATTTGTTACGACAAAATCGCTAAATTTTTCGGAAACCACTAATGTTTAGTGGTTATTAACTTCTTATAGCTACCATATACACAATTACTTCCTGTAGCTACTATTCAATTGTTACGGTAGTGTATTCGCTGTATGTGCGCTACTGTATTCATGAATACAACAGCAAAAAACGCCTAAAAATCAAGGTAGTCCAGCTATATGCGCATGTATTCACATGTATTTAAGCCATTTATTCATGAATACAACAACAAGAAGCGCCTAAAATCAGGCAGTACAGTTGTACGCGCATGTATTCACGCTGTTGTATCCATGAATACAGTAGTAAAAAGCGCCTAAAATCAGGGTAGTCCAACTGTACACGCATGTATTCACATGTATTCGCGCCATGTATTTATGAATACAGCAACCAAAAGGGCCTAAAATCAGGGCAGTCCATATGTACATGCATGTATTCACATGTATTCGCGCTGCTGTATTCATGAATACAGCAGTAAAAACGCCTAAAATCAGGGCAGTCCAGCTGTATGCGCATGTATTCATATGTGTTCGCGCCAATCACCTTAAAAATAGGTATGTCCAGTTGTCTAAGAGAGAGGAAAAACATAAATAGCGTATTTCATGCCTTATTTTATGCCTCGATGGTAGTATATACCATAAATACTTATTTTGCTAGAAAATATAAAAGGTAGTTATAGAAAATAATATTTTAAAATAATGATTTATAATAAATAGAATGTATACATTTGCTATAGGAGGTAAAATTTCCTTTATTATAACGAAAATATCATTTAATTTTATTTAAGTATCACTAAAGTCGCCAAACTACTTTTTGTAACCAAAAAGTTATAGGGATAATTTCACATAAGTACAACTCACACACCTGAATTGCAATATAATAGCCTAGATACCACTTTGCAAATATATAGCCCAAAAATAATCGGCTAATTCTCGAAAAACAGCTTATTTCACTCAATCAACTACGGTTATTGTTCCCTCTTTATTCAACCAGTTGTTTTCATTCTCTTGATTTTCTTTCATACTTAAGCATTTGATTAAAAAAATGTAAATCAGCCACAACGCAACTCAAAAATGTTGAATAATACATATTATATGAAGGCAAGAAATTCAAACACTTTTATGTGCAATTGCTGAAGCAATCCAACATGATAAAAGAAAAATTAAAACTTAGTAAATGAATTATAAAATCCCTCCAACGCGTACAAGATCTTTTTCATACAGCACATACACGAAAAGAAGAAGAGAAGGAAGTGCCAAACTTCCATAGAGGCCTCTTATACACTGACAATGTATATACATCCTTATAAACTGAAAAAATATATAATCATACAACATTATACACAAATATACACAATTATACATAATTATACAATATTGTATAAGTGTATATAAACACCACTTATATAATATTTTCACTAGAAAACATAGTATGTCCAACACTACACTTACTGTGAATAATGTATCAACTTGTATAAACATGCATAACAGTGTATAAGAGGTGTTTGTATATCCATATACATAATTATACAATATTATACAATGTTGATACAAACTGCTAGATAGTTATGATTTTTTATCCAAGCTTCGAGTTGTAGTAGAAGGTATTGGATGATTCAACTCGTTAGTAGGTTAACAATTTTGCGCCAACAATTCGGAATTCAACAGCCATACAAGATATACCCAATTTCAGATTCGAGACTTCAAAGTCATAACAATGATGACCATAGTTTCAAACTTCAAAATCTTCCAAAATTAGTGGTTATTTTTTGGTGCAAATCAAGTTTGAGAGCTTTTATATATTTTTATTTTTTTTTTCAAAATCTTCAATATTCTTCTACTTGCCACCATCAGACTTGGCGGGCTTGGACGACGGAGGAGGAGCCTGAGCCTTCGAGCCATTGATGGCAGAACTCCGTAGGGGGTAGGGGAGGGGGAATAGTGGGGGCTAGGTTAAGAGAGGATGAGGGGAAAGAAAGAAGCGAGAGGCGGTGGGAAGAGAATTTGGTGTGCTGGGAATGAAGAAAGAAGAAAATAATAAAAACCCCAGAAGTGTGTCTTTAATAATGGGCTAAAGACTGAAAAGTTTCTTTCAAGTTATATACAACATGGGCTAAATCGGATAAGAACTTCAAATCTGGGCCATTTTCGATTGGACTGTTAGGCCAAGTGACGAGGGCTGTAATTCTATCACAGTTATATAACTTTGCATAACTATCACAGAAAGTGAGTAAAGAAAACAAAGGAGACATTTATTATGATACATTGGTAAAGTTAACTGATATTTTTATTATAAAAAATTATTTAGTAATTTTCTATGATACACAGGCAAAATAGAATGACCTTTTTGTTATTAAAAAATAATTCAATAACTTTGGGCAAGTTAAGTACTAACATTTATGGTACAAAATATCATTTAGTAACTTTTTGTGATTCATAGACAAAGTTTAATAACCTTTTTATATAGAAAATAATTTAATAAACTTTAATAAAATTAAATAAAAATTGAGTTACCATCCAAAAATTACATCTACTAACAATCATAGAAAACTCAAATCTTCTGAAAACTGGACGGCTGTGATCGCAAATAAGCGTTTAGTAGTAGTAAGCAGAAAGAAACAAAGAAAAAGAAGGAAATTGGCGTTAAGCAAAGCATTGGCTCAAAGACCTTTTTTCTATTTGGTCTTTCCCTCCATTGTCTCACCACTTTCTCACTGACGACTTGGTACTGAGTGAGAGCAGTGGAGAAGCAAAAAAATTCCAGAAACTTCCAAAAAGCATATGCTGAATCGCTGCTTCCGGAAACCCTAACAGAGAATAGCCATTCCGGTTTCATTCACCTAAGGTGAAATTTATCTAACTTTCTGTTCTCCGTTTTCATTTACTTCTTCTACATTCTCTAGTTTTCTAATTATAATTTTTTTTTGATAATGTGCATTGTGTACTAATTTTGTTTTAATGAATATTTTGATCTTTTACTAGTATTTTTTTTATATATTAATTGCTCAATTTTACCTATTTTAGTCCGCATGCAATTAAGTTTCTCGATTTTCAGTTTCAGAAAAGATTCACTCTGATACAGTGTTAAATGCATATTTACTCGTTCACTTCTTTTTGGGCATTTTTCTTAGTGATTTATTCTTTCAATGTTCAAAGTTTCTAATATATGAATTTAAAAAATTTGAATACATTTTTGCTTGTAATTTGATGTTTCTACTTATTGTCTTCATAATGTTTGAACGATCTGACCATAAATTACTTTGCATACAGTGTACTGCTTTTCATGAAGAATAAATATTAACTTGATTTGAGTAGAGTGGATGAGATACATGGTTTCATATGCAGAGTTGGAGCTAGGATTTGAAGTTTATGGGTTAGGGATTCTAGTCTTTTTAAGTTATCGGGTTCTAAATTAATAATTCATACATATTCAATGAATTTATTAAGACAAATACAGAGTTTCGACTAAAGCTTCTGGGTTCGGCCGAACCCGTAAGCTATAGTCTAGCTCCACCCATGTTCGTATGATAGCCTACCACAACAAGTTTGGAATTGAGGTGTAGTTGGTTGATTGATATATATTCTAACTACATTGTTCTTGTCAGACAAAAAACTATAACAAGCTTAAATTTTGTAGTTGTGCGCATATGATGTATCCATAGAGGGGTATAGATCAAGGAGACGGTTTAGAAAGGACTCTGATTTCAGTAGCCTTCTTCTTTTGGCGTTTATCCAGCTAATAAAAATTTCTCCTAGGTGACTGTTCCACTTGAAATATGGAAGGAAGTGAGGGAAGAGAGAGTTTTTGCCCACCTGTGGCAGTTGCACCACCAGTTATAGAGTTGGACGCGGAGCCAGAGAGAGTTGATCAGCCCAAGCGTACTGTAATGTCGAGGCCTGGGAATGGAACATCTGGACGAGGGATTGCTTTGCTTGCAAACCACTTAAAAGTTTCTGTCAAATGTCCTGATGAAATATTTTACCAATACAGTGTATGATTGCTAATTATTGAGTCCTTCTTCAGTCATTTTGAAGCTCCCCATGCACTTAACCAAATTTCTGTGTTGCACTATTACAGGTCTCTATAACTTGTGATGAAAAGAGGGATGTTAACATCAAGCGGATTGGAAGAAAAATCATAGATAAAATTCACGAAACATACTCATCTGAATTTGCGGGGAAGAAATTTGCTTACGATGGAGAGAAGAGTTTGTACACAGTGGGACCTCTGCCACGCAACAAAGTGGAATTCACGGTGGTTGTTGAAGAGTCTAGTGCAAAGCAGTAATATCCTTGAAAAAATCTTTAACTCTATTGTCGCAGTTACTTTAAGGCTTCTATAATGTACCTTAAGCTTATGTTATACTTTGTTTGTAGTGCTAGTGAGAGCCCCTCAGATAATGGAAGCAACAATCACTCTAGTAAAAGATCTAAGCATTCTCTTCATTCAAAAGCTTTCCTGGTGGAGATCAACTTTGCAGCTAAAATACCATTAAAGTCCATTTCTCTTGCCCTTCAAGGAGCTGATGCGGAAAATGTTCAAGATGCATTGAGGGTTCTGGACATTATATTGCGACAACAAGCTGCTAATAGGTAATTCCCTGTTATTCTGGTGACCGTCAATCTTTTCCCGAGCCAAAACTTATCCAGATATTCATGTTGGTCACAGAGGATGCCTCTTGGTTAAACAGTCATTTTTTCATGACGACTCAAGGAACTTCACAGATGTTGGAGGGGGTGTAATGGGTTGTAAGGGGCTCCATTCCAGCTTTCGTCCAACCCTTGATGGATTGACCTTGAACATGGGTAGTACTTAGAAACTCTCCAGTCTAGCTGTCTTACTTCTATAATTTTTATAAATCTTAGTTCTGCTTACTTCCTGGTTGTAGATGTGTCTACAACTATGATCCTATCACCTGGACCTGTAATCGACTTTTTGCTCACTAACCAGAATGTAAAGGAGCCTCGTTATATTGATTGGGCAAGAGTGAGTAATATCTAACTGCACGCTAAAACTCTTCTTTCTTTCAGCTCTCCACGCTTCACTAACTTCCAGTTTTATACAGGCAAAAAGAATGTTGAAGAATCTGAGAGTTAAAGCTAAGCACAGCAACAAGGAATTCAAAATTGTCGGTCTGAGTGAGAGACCTTGCAATCAACAGTTGTGAGTGTCCATTTGTCTTGTGTATTTATTACTAACTACTCAGAAATATGTAACATCTACTTTTGTTGCCTTTTTAATAGATTTTCTATGAAAGTAAAAAATGGTGATGGCCCAGATAATGGAGGAGAGACCATAGAGATAACTGTTTATGAGTACTTCACTAAACACCGTAACATAGAACTTTCAAACTCTGCTTATATGCCATGCCTGGATGTCGGAAAACCGAAACGACCAAACTATCTGCCACTGGAGGTGTGCAGAGTTATTATTCTTTCTTTTTACATGACTGGACCCTTATTAACTAAACCAGCTTCCAAGAGCCAACTTTTTTTCTTTCCTTAATATTCAGCTGTGTTATTTGGTCTCCCTTCAAAGATACACAAAAGCGTTATCATCAGTGCAGCGGGCATCTTTAGTTGAAAAATCAAGGCAGAAGCCTCGAGAACGAATTAAAGTTATAACAGAAGTAAGTTGGTGCAGGTTTGACTGTGCTGGTCCTTTTAATTTTTGCCTCTGTACCTTACTGGAAATTTGGCAGGCTGTCAGGGACTACAGCTATGATGACGATCCCCTTCTTGCCACTTGTGGAGTCTCAATAGAAAAGCAGCTCATTCAATTTAACGGCAGGGTCCTTGAGGCTCCAAAGGTAGCATCTATACATCTTGAACGGTGTTCATTAAAATTTAATTTTTTTTTCTGACTTTACTTATATTATCTTACAATCTCTAGTTGAAGGTTGGTAATGGCGAAGAGGTCGTTCCCCGCAACGGCCGATGGAATTTTAATAACAAGGTACAATTTAACCGCATAATATCACCTTGCAGTCTGGCGCGTTAACAGCGAATATAAGGAGAGGTGGAAATAATCGTCTGTGGTTGTCCTCTATTATTTTGTTACTACCTGGGGATCAACCTTTTGAGAACTTGACTATGAAGGAGAGGAGGGATGGCGGATATGAATTTATCCTCATTATTCTCGATATCTGAGGATAATCTTTGTGAAAATGAAAAAAAGTTTCTATTGTTAGACTTAACCAACTGTAGTGAAAATGTTATAGAAGTTTTCTGCAGTTTTTCGTTTGAACCATACCTTCCATCTCTCTCTACCTTTTTTTTTCCTTTCTTGTAGCATCTTTTGACCCCTGCACGAATTGAACGCTGGGCAGTGGTCAACTTCTCTGCCCGTTGTGATACAAGTCACCTTTCGAGGGAGCTTATTAGTTGTGGAAGGACCAAAGGCATTGTATGTAGAGCTACATGTACCTCGTTCATTGTTTAATTTTGTTGCGATAAATTATGGGTTCAAATTCTTCTTTTCCTGTCAATCAGCATTTTGAGCGCCCACATACACTCATTGAGGAGGATCCCCAGAATAGGCGAGCTGGGCCTGTAATTCGAGTAGAAAAGATGTTCGAAGAGATAATAGCTAGACTTCCTGGCCCTCCTGACTTTCTTCTCTGTGTCTTGCCAGAGCGAAAAAACTCAGAGATATATGGTAATATACTAATTACTATGTTAGACCCGCTCGCTTTGGTTTCAATATCCTATACTAACTTATACATTTCATAATGTCAAGGACCTTGGAAGAAAAAAAGCTTGACTGACTTGGGAATTGTTACTCAATGTATCTCTCCGTTAAGGATCAATGATCAATATTTAACGAATGTGCTTCTCAAAATTAATGCAAAGGTAGTCTTTTGAACTTGTGATCAACAGTTTGGATTTTTTTCTGTTTTCAGTTTTTCTGAACTAGGATAGTCTTTTTTGCTTGTGTTTAATAGCTTGGAGGGACCAATTCATTGTTGGCTATGGAACATGCGTCTTATCTGCCGCATATTCAGGACACTCCAACAATGATTCTGGGCATGGATGTCTCTCATGGATCTCCTGGTCAATCAGATATTCCATCAATTGCTGCGGTTGATCTTCTCCCCAAAATATTTTCTCTTTTCTTTTGTCAATAGCGTTGCGACTGATTTGTTCTGCCTTATTATCACTGTTCTTCCAGGTTGTGGGATCCTTATATTGGCCATTAATATCCAAGTACAGGGCAGTTGTCCGTAGTCAATCTCCAAAGTTAGAAATTATAGAATCCTTATACAAGCCTTTACCAAATGGAGACGATGAAGGAATCATGGGGTGCATCTTTATAGCCTATAATATGTCAAGTTTCTATGACAACCTATGTATAGAAGCACTTAAATTATACAAATTTACTTGTGCTGCAGAGAACTGCTTCTGGACTTCTATAGGACATGTAACGGCCATAAACCAGCTCAAATTATTGTCTTCAGGTATTCCAATATTTATCTCTGAAGTCTGCTGCAGATGCTGTTCCACATATGAGCAATGACAGCTGCTAAAGTTATATAAAAATTTGTTGGTTCAGCCCCACATTTAGCTTTATATTTGGAAAGGAATTAGATATAAGCCTTGGTGAAAAAAAATACATCTTACTGTTTCAAATTCCACATAACAAATAATAAAAAAAAGAAACTGAATCCACATATATGTAGTTTTTCTGGAAAACTGTTTCCGTCGACCAAAAGAGAAGTGGGATATAAACATTGGTGGATTAGTCAAGGTGCGGCGGGTAAGCTGGCATGGGTACACCATATTTAAAACAAAAAGTTAATAAGAATGAGTATCATAAAGCACACTATACAATGTTAAAGTTGGAGCCTATCTTTCTGGAGACAAACAGATCCAAAATCTTACAGTTTCTCCAATGAGAAGATGCGAGTTGCAGATCTGTGTTCTTAGATGTCATCTTCATATCCTATCAATCTTGAGAGCCTTTTGATAGAACAAAATATCTTTACCTGGATAGATTGAAATAGTACATTATGTCCTTATGATATGCAATTTATTTTTGGCGATTGGGGAATTTCACAACTATATAAGGGTATCAGGCGAGAAGGTGAATTTTAACCATTGTACTCTGTACTTCTGGCAGAGTATTACAATTTATGTGGCTGTGACTTTTATAGCAGTCCTATAATTTTGAAATGGTATAGCAGTCCTATTTCAAGTTTTTGTTTGCAATCACATGATGATTGTTCATTAATATTATATTGCTAGCCATTTGCAATCAACTTAAAATTTCCTTTGTTAGGGATGGCGTCAGTGAATCACAGTTCAGTCAAGTTCTGAACCTTGAGCTAGATCAAATGATCAAGGTAATGTCCATCTATCTGAAAAATGTCTTTTTCCTTCTGCCATTCCAATGCACTCACTTAACACTGCATCATAAAATAGTTTTTTTTTTTTTGCTTGTGGAGATGTTTAATTTCTTACTTTAATTTTTTCATGACAAAAACATTTAAAGGAATGGAATATCCACAGTTAACGCACTGAACTTTTGCAGTTAATGCTCTGGAATAGAGTAATAATACTTTAAATTTAGGCATCTCTTAGGATCTGAGTTCTATATGCTGTCCATCAGTTATTAGTTCCTGGTATGTTTAATACGTCATTTTCCAAAAGCAGGCATACAAGCATCTTGGTGAGGGAGACATCCCCAAGTTCACCTTGATCGTGGCACAAAAAAATCACCATACGAAACTGTTTCAAGCTAGTGCACCTGAAAATGTTCCACCAGGTCTTTAACTTTCCAGCAAATCCTTTGTTCTGCTTCAAGTGATCTGTTCTAAAGTAGTCTCTAAAACACACTGTCTCTCTCCCTCAGGTACTGTTGTAGACACAAACATTGTGCATCCAAGAAATAATGACTTTTTCATGTGTGCACATGCAGGAATGATAGTAAGTTACTCAGATCCTTTTACCCGTTGGGGTTTTCCTAGATGTTGACCTATTTATCATGGCATATAGGACCTGCGCTTTTGAGTTTCTTCCTTCAGCGCTTCAACAATATGAAAACAAATTGAACTGAGCTAGTCTGTCTATGAATTTTACAACAGGGAACAACTAGACCTGCACATTATCATGTATTGCTCGATGAGATTGGTTTCTCACCTGATGTCCTGCAAAATCTCATACATTCACTATCATATGTGTAAGCTATCTGATATGCAATCTATAAGTTATGAATGAATTTGCAAGTTTAATGTGATAATGCTTTTGCTGTCTTTCAGATATCAAAGGAGCACGACTGCGACCTCTATTGGTAATTCTGTTTATGCTTGCATTACTTTCTTTTTTGTTCCTATGGAGAGATTGAAATATTAAGAGACATAGATAGGCATGTGATAGTGAAACTGTTATCAGTCATCTTAAATTACAGAATTAGCAAAAGTTAGCATATTATCTAATTTCATTGTTGCTGCAGTGGCTCCTGTCCGATATGCACATCTAGCAGCACAACAATTTGCACAGTTTGTGAAGTTCGAAGATCTCTCCGAAACTTCTTCAGGACACGGCAGCGTCAAATCAATTGGGAGCACCTCGGTTACCGAACTGCCCAGGTTGCACATGAATGTCAGTGACTCAATGTTTTTCTGTTGAAGTTGGTGAAGTTTTCAACTGCACATGCTGTAAATTCTTGGGTAGTATAATACTCTGGCTCCAAATTTTGTGGAGGCTTTAGTCAAGCACTTTTAGGTCGTCTAACAAGGGGCAAAACATCTTATTTCTGACAGTTTTCTGGACGTAACTAGGCTAAAAATATCACTGTTTAAAGGGCATAGAATTTTGGTACAGCTACTTATAGCCATTTAGAATTTAGGACTGACTTTTGTATAGTCAATTTTTTGGCCTAAATTTGGTGCGCCTGATTTGTTAAACACCAGGAAGCTTTGGTCTATATAGTATTGAAATGAAATTCGTCCGTCATGCAATTGCCTTCATGAATATTCACAAATTAAAGTTATTTTTATTTGCTAATAAGATTGCCAACTTGGAGAATGACTCAAGAAAGTGTTAACTTTGATCATGTCTAACCCAAATTTCTCGAAAGGAAAAGGTCCAAATTGTATGTGTGTCGAATTGCTCAATTTCTCACCGTTAAACCTTTGGTCCATTCATATCTTTGCATTAGCAATGTACCGAAATACTCCGAGAAAAAAAAGTATATTAATTCTTCATCTTTTGATTAAGATATAATTTGATTATTGATAAATTCTTACGGCTTTATGTCAAGTAGTATACACGCATATTTTCATCCGGCATAACATACCCTTTTAAAAGCCCGGTGCATCATGCATCCTATGTTTAGGCTAGGTCCGAAGAAGGGCCGCACCTCAAGGGGTGTGATGTAGGTAACCTACCCTGCTGCAAGCATTAGTGGTTTCCACGACTCAAGCCCGTGACCTATACTTTAAACGGAGACAACTTTACCGTTGCTCCACAGCTCCCTTTAAACATATCCTCTTAGAAAAACACTCTTACCGAGTCCAACACTGTTGGGAATCAAATGTGCTCAATAGGCATTAGCATGCCTATTGCTGCATGGAAAACCCTCATCCAAGTTCCTCTTCAGTTCTCAAGACTTGCATGAAATGACGGAAATTCAGAATGCCCAATAAAACGTGCCCGCGCTCGATCGCACTAACAATGCTATGATTAACAAAGTCAGTATGGGGCTCTAGTGTGTAAAACTTCTGATATTCAGACATCAATATGCTCCCATCAATACACCATCAAGACTTCACATATACTTTTATCGATACAACAATTGTTTGGAGAGCTAGTGATGAGACCGCGCATATTGCAGCTGCTCCAAGTCCTTACAGAAACTCCTTCACTTGCAATCAGTTCAAACTTAACACAGAACCATGATTATCTGATTTCCAAAGAGTTGTTCGAATAAAACATGTAGAGCCAGTTTAGGCAAAACAACAATATACTAAATTTGAAAAATTCATCTGTACAAAAGCTATCCCATAGAACCTCGGATGGCATTATACCCAAGCAGAGAATTTGACCATTCAATGTGCACGAACTATTGAAGGTTTACTGTCGTGGGGGCATGAATTGATGCCAAAACAAAGCCAACCCAGTATTCCAGAAAATGAATAGTTATTACGAATCAAAGGCAGTACATACGACTTTACACAGCATGTGTGCTGGTCACCAGGGGGCATTTCTCCAGATAGTGACTTGAAAGACTATTAGTTGTGTATATACATGGGTCGGGAGTGACAAGGAATACAAACCGACTTAACTCTCAGCCTTTTCTACCACTGTTAAGTATTCTATGCAGATGGAAACCTTCACCTTGATCCCCATTCAAAGACCTCTTCTCCAAGAAGCAAGCATTTAGCTGCCTGAGTAGCCTCTCAAGACATGAATGTAAGCAATCTTTTGAATCTTTCACGCTTGGGTTCGTTGATAAAACCATTGCATTGACAGCATCAGCCACAACTTCTCGCTGTGAATCTCCTAGAAGATACCCAACAGAGGATTTTTGTGGCTGTTCATATGCAAGCAGAGCAGCACAATCCTATAATGGATAGGGAAAGAGAAACAGTATTAATAAATATATTTGCTGAGGATAAGATTATAGACTATGTTGCGCTGACTCTCCAAAGATGTTGATGCACCTGTGTCGGATCCTCCAAAAATGCAGTACTTTTGGAGGATCCGACACACACCCGGGGATATTTTCGGAGAGTCCGAGCAGCATAGATTATAGATGCTAAAACACATAATAAGGATTGCTTAAACATTCTCTGCATTGTAAAATTAACGCATTTTATGGTAAGAGTAACTATTGAGTTCTCTAATCCAGATACGTAGAAGGTGCTGGCCAGCACAAAGCAAGGAGAAATCCCAAAGATGCTATGACAGAAATGTCACTGCTGTACATGTTTTGAAATTTAGATGTGTAAATGTGTTATCTCCTGGTGTTATATACAAAATATATGAGAGGAGAAAATAGTAGAGTTCATTAGCTCAGTACTGTAATGGCCTGTTTTATTGTAAATAGGAAAAACTTTATAAGGACTTTTTTTGCAATGTCCAGCACTATGTTAGTGATAGGCTGCTCAAACTAGTACGATCCTAATCAGTAAACACAGCCACAAAAGGGTTAATAGAATTTCCTTCAGTACCTTGACCAAGTCATCATAGTCTCCCAACTTGTAGAATTTTTCAAATTCAGTCCTTCCATATAACACAGCTTCTTCAAGCTTTCCAGCCTACAGATAGAACATAGCACTTCAAATTGTTTGCTAATTTATATGACTACACGGCACCATAAAACACTAATGAAATACATATTCTGAAGACAAGCATATATGTATCTCCAAAGAAATGAATATTTTGGCGCTTCCGTTGACATTGGTTAGATGCATCCTCGAATTATCTTATTCCTACACTCATTCTGGTATTGTATAAGAATGTAATTTGTTGGCTTGTCTTCAGAAGAGACGCACTACTCAGGTAGGCCTTACCAATTAGATCACTAACAGAACATCTAATTCTCCTTCAACACAAATAGGGTTCAAATCGGACGGCCCAAAACTGTATTATCTAAATATAATCCATTTGCCAAATAACCAGTCAAAATATTACTTTTTGATAAGGTAAAGCACCAGATAGGAAGCAAACTAGCTATATCACATGAACTGCTTACAAATTGCATAACACGTCTACCTTTTTCTTTGGATTGTTCATAATGAGTTCTTACTTGCATATAGAAATTTTCTTTTGTTGGCCCGTTGACCCCCCTTTGCCACATACCTGAGTTTTCTTCTTTTGCACGCACCACTATTTCTACGTCTATTTATTTAAAGCTTTTGTGACCTGCCTAGTCATTAGCATGAGACTAAGTTCTTCTCAATGTCATTTTAAACTAATTTTTTCACCACCAAGTTGAAAAAATTAAACCTTTCTATGGGATGCTGTAGCTTTTTGTCCTGCAGCATCATCTCTTCATATCATTGAATCATTCTTTACAAGTTTTATACATAGAAAGAAACATGAAGCAGCAGAAGCATGTGTACAAACAACTTACCCGTACTAGCTCAATAAAATTTTGACAGTGAAGCAGAAAGCATATAGCTGATGTGCCATCCTAAAGAGCATAAAACAGCTTATCAGGAAAGGAAAGGTAAGTAAAAAAGAAACAAATTCTGTTGTCCGTAATAAAAAAGAAACAAATTCTTCGCCACATTGTGAACAAAAGAATGGCATTCGAGTTCATCAAAACTCAAGGTAAATAGCGAGCAAATTTCAACTTATTGAAAAGTAGTGTAGTTCAAAGGTGAAGTTCAAGAAATAATATGGAGATATAAACAAAAAAATATCATACTCCATATGTACATCTTAAATATATTCACAATGTTAGAAAAGAATAGATTGATCGTCAAGCATATATATCTATTAAACTAATGTCAAGAAATGAAAAACCTAAGTCCTAAGGTAAAAGAAAAAAACAAAGTTAGAGTAGAAAATAAAAGTAGAGTGTTGATAATTAAAACTGCAAAGGTTTACATGAATTGACATCAAGTAAGGAAGTTCCACAGCATCTTTGTGCAAAAAGGTAAAGGGAGGTGAATGAAGTTACAATCATATGATGTTCCACAACATCGACTAACAGAAAAATTACCTGAACTATCTGAGGATACCACTCTCTAAGTTTCTTAAAGGCATCACCAATTTCACCACTTCGAATTAGCTGTTTAAACAAAAAATACATTCCTGTAAGTATCATTTCTATGTCAGCAAAATGACAACAACGTAGACCAAGGTAGGAGGGTTAAAAGGACGTCGGAAAGCACCACATTATTTTTTTCCTTTGGACTGTGCGTGGGGAGGAGAGTTAATTACATTGTTTTGTGCAGATCTGAAAATAATTGAACCAAAAGTCCAAAACTAGTACTTAGCAAGAAGACAACAGCAATGGATGGTAGAAAGTTACTGGCTGTTCGTCAACTAAACCGTCCGGCAAAACGGAAGTTTTGGATACTAGATCTGGCCAGAGACTATATTCATGTGTTAACTACTTAACTTTGCGTTGTCAAAGAGAAAACACTCCAACGTGAGAAGAATAACCAAAAGGTAACAGTCATAGGAACCTTCTTTTTATCTGGTAACCCCCCCCTCCCCCCAAAAAAAAAACAACCCAAGGAATCCAACAGTGTCCTTTCCCGCTGTACTCCCTAGGTAATTCAAACAGTGTGACGACCCAAAGGGTCATCACCTGTTTTCTTACTCATTCCGTGCTTCCGAGGCCTTGAAAACCTCATTTGTTGTCGCCTCGATTTGCGTACGCAGTCCGGGCGCGTAGCCGGAAAGCTTAAATATGAAATTCTGTGATAAATGCTAAAATTTGATATTAAAATGAGTAAATTTGACTCCGGTCAACATTTCGGGTAAACGGACCCGGACCCGTGATTTGACGGTCCTGGAGGGTCAGTAGGAAAATATGGGACTTGGGCATATGCCCGGAATCAAATTCCGAGGTCCCAAGCCCGAGAAATGAATTTTTGAGTAAAATTGTTTTCTGAAAATATTTAAGGAAATTTGGAAAATGAAAATTAATTAGAACGTGTTGGTATCGGGCCCGTATTTTGGTTCCGGCGCCCGGTGCAGGTCTTATATGTGGTTTAAACACTTTCTGTAAAGTTTGGTTGAAAACGGACGTCGTTTGACATGTTTCGGACTTAAAAATGGAAATTTGATGTTTTATGAAAAATTTGGAAGAAATCATGAGCTTTGAGGCTTGATTTGAGGTATATGATGTTATTTTGGCGATTTGATCGCACGGATAAATCCGTAGGATGTTTTTGAGGTTGTGTGTATGTTTGGTTTGGAGCCCCGAGGGCTCGGGTGAGTTTCGAGTGGGTTCCGGGATGCCTTAGGCTTAAAATACCAGATGTTGCAGGTTC